AATTAATACAGAAAAAAAACACTCTAACGTCATATCTCGTCAAAATGTAATCCCCTCTCTATTGCATCTGTTAGGAAAGGATGCCTCGCTGAGTCTCCAGTAACCTTGACAGAGCTGACAGAGCTCACAAGGGGGGACATTTTCTTTCTCTACAAAGAGCCACGGATATATGCCCGACGAGAAAAGATGGATATCTGTGATAATCTGTAGGATTTATCTTGTCCAAGTCTGAAAGACTCAGAAATGAAGAAGAATACAATGGTATTGTGCAAGGCTGGCTTAGCACAATACTTTTGGCGCGGCGGGGAAATGAAAACATAAGGCTGGGATGGCAATGTGAGGGGGGAGGGTGTGCGTGTGTCGGAAAGACCTGCTGTGAAGTCAAGGTCAGGCTGGGTAGCGGTAAAAACGAATTAGACTGTTGTAGCGCGGACGGGCCTACCAAATTTGATTTCCAGCGCTCTGGCAAATCAAAATGTGCGAAGCCCCGGAATCTATGCTACGCGGCGTATTGCGGCGTTGGGCCCCTCGCTCACGTCCGCGCGAGCGTGAGCAGGGAAGAGTTAAGCAGCTTATTGCATGCTGGCCGCTTGTTAGTCGGTTGTTAGGTTTCCTCTTGTTTTCATTCACCCTTTTTGTCTCTCTCCCCTTTCCCCCTTTTTTTTCTGGTACTAACAACAAACCACCTTGTGGTAGGCCCGGGTACCCTCTTGATTGATCTGATTTGCGAAGGGGTAGACGTCGAGGCGTGAAGAACGAGTCAGCCTAATGTTCTCACCTCGCTAGCTTCACTTGTAGCTGATGTAATCAGACTTGGCCTGGGCCGGCGCACACCGCCATACTACGTGCAACCCTACTTGCCTGCTGCACACACACGGCCGGCCATTCTTCCCCACGAATCGTCACAGGAACGGAAGGTGTTGTGCCGGCAGTGTCTGGGCTCACGCTCGGCCGGTTCGCATTCTGCCCCCGAGCGTGTTCAGCCCCGCGGAGTACGTGTAATTCTACTAGAGAATTACCATACGCTTGTAATCAAGTTTGCATAAACAGCTTTAACAAAAATAGAAGGTGGAGGGGAGAAAAAATAAAGATATTGCTTTTAAACTGCAGACTTGTATGAGTGAGTATGAGGGGGGTGGGTGATGAGTGGGTCCTACGCAGCAAGATTACGTGATTTCTGCGATTTGCGCAGCGAATTCAAATCTATTTATGGATCTGCGGCTGGAGACTGGCGGCGCCAGGGAAATTGGACAATACGCTTGGCTGATGGACAAACCAGGTAGCCTTAAGTAGGGACCGTTTTTATGAGAACTGTCAAGGGCCCGCCTTATAAACAACCTGTAACCTTGACACTGAGCACGTGCAGTAGATGCTGCAAACTTTCCAGTGTAAACAAGCCAAGTTGGGCAAGTTTTATTGGCAATTTTCTCTTTTCATTCTTCTCTTTTATTTCTTCCCTGAATCGACAGGAAATTGCTTGATCGTAGGAAACTTGGACCGGCAAAAATAGTTCCATTGTGGGATAATTACTCAAAAGGTTTTCATCAAGAGTAGTATTTGTGCCTATTTTAGAGTAATAAACAGGCTTTATGTATTAATCATTTCAAATTTTCTTTTCATTCACTCTTGATCACAGCATGTGCTCACTTATAAATTTATCCTGGTATCTGTAAGTATAAAATGTCTTAGTATTCTCTTAATTAGCATCATGAAGAAATAATTTCCAAAATGCTCCGTCTCATTAAACCCTTAAGATTTAGCAAATTACAACCCCCAATCCAGTGCTCAGCTAAATATACAGCTAATTCATCCACTCAAAAAAGTGCAAAAGTAATCATTTTAATGACCAGGAGCACTTATTTTGTTTTCCGTTCAAGCACAAGATGAAATTGGGGAAATTACGTCCTGGCACAGATAACAAAAGAAACGAACCCCCCCCCCCCCACCTTTCTCCGACCAATCAAAAACAAGACGAGTCTCCACGATTGGAGCAGCTGCCATTAGTCAGGCTCCTTCTCTCGCCTACGTGATTGGATAGTTAATTCATACAGACACCTTGACCTTCAAATAAAACCGGGGAACCGGTTCAAACTGGTTCAATCAGGCAGAAACTGGCTGTCACAGGTGGTGGCGGTGGCTGGCTTGTTAGACATGCATGAGTCCCCCCAATGCTCTTGCCACATACACACACCAAATGTACATACAGGATTGAGGGAGACGACTTAATTCCGGTACATTATGTGGGCTAGGCGGCACTGGGCCCGGGTATTGATTTTGAGAGGATTGAGGGAAGAACGGAGTGAAATTTATGAAATGTTTTGATTTGGGACAATCTTGGAGGTGGCACTTTATTAAGTGATGGTCTTATCAATCAACTTCCATGAGAGGACCATTTAATGCTGTGAAGTTTTGTAAATTTCACTGAACTGCTCAGTAGGAAACACAGACTACTAAATTCAGGTACTAAGTAATTATAAGTTAGCTGGGAACAAATCGCAAGCGATGTAACTGCATGACACTTTGGCTGGTGCCCTGTTTCAGCTGGGTAAAATTTACCTGATATTGGACACTGATGAAGCAACTTCCTCCGGTCAAGAAAGCAAAGTGATACTTCAAATCCAAGATTATTTTAAATGGGCATGGAGCAAGTGGGCAGGAGATTGATACGCATTTGAAAAATATGTCACCTTTGCTCTGCTGTCATCAAGGCAACACCTAATTTTTACTTCACCATTCTAAACAGAGTATCAATCATCTTGGCAGAAGAGAAATGTGAGTCTTCCGTTTCTGACAAAAAGTTGGTGAGATATTTGTGCAAGGCCTTCTATTAAATGTAAAATGATACAACAAATGACACATTGTAGTGAGTAATTAGCTTCATACATGTACCACCAAGTATGGATAAGTATATTGAATCAAAAGGTATCAATTATTAATTTCACTTTCACTATACCTATGTTTGCCTTTCTACATAGCCCATTTGGGAGTTGAAATGGGCACCATGTTAGAGCAAGTTCAAGCAAGGACCAGTGGTTAACTAGTGGTTGGTTCTTGACGTACCCAGCGCATGCGCACTGAAGTCGAGCAATTGTCATGTCAACAACCGTCAGAAAATGGCTGTCGCACAATTATTCAACTCTGGTTTCTCTTTATTTACACAAATTGTGTATAGTTTAGGACATCTTACATAATCGCCAACATCAGTGTACAATGGGTGACAAAAGTGACATAATCGTAAACTAACATGGAAAAACTGTACAATGAAAATGAAATTTAGCGTTCACAGTTTCGTTTTCCGCCATTTCTGTTGATAGTTGGTCCCCTCTGCACTATGCTATGGAAATTCCTATTGATAACCAGCTATAAATCGTTGCTCGACCAGCCGCGGTAGGCTGGTTCCAAATAGTCGACTAGTGTAGTCAACCATCGTCGACTAGACAGAGTTCGGGCTAACGTAGTCAAACTATTGTTAACCACTGGTCAACAAAAGACTATTCAATACATGTAGTTCTTGCGCGAACTTGCCCTTAGCCGGGGAGTAACCTGCGATAGACTTGCAACCAGTCCAGGGGGAAATAAGAACTATTGTTAATGGTTTCATGTACAGACCAGAGATGAAACGGTGGCTTAGGACAGACTAACTGTCATGTCCTAATGTGTTGTGTCCTTGAGCAGGAGACTGTACTACAATTGCATCTCTCCTCCCCAGCCACAAGTGGGTGCATTTCTGGACAATGTAAGATTATCTTATGGTACATGTAGGTTCACTGGGGCAAAAAGCCGCATAAATGACCTTGCATCTGGTAAGCAAAGATTAACATGTATGTTTACCAAAAACTAGTTACAAGCCTAAATGTCATGCCTTTTCTTTAGTCTGGTTCTTGCGTTATTTTTGCTTAGAGGATAAACCTGCTGAGCAAAGGACTTATGAAAAAAAAAACCCTTAAATTTTAATCACTCTGAGCTTACTTTATGACATGCATCATCCTTATCAAATACAGTAGCAAAGAAGCAGGCTGTTCCTTGCAACAAGGCAATTAGCCTATAATTTGAAGAACACACTCCGTCGATAAAGAAGAACACGACATCCCATACGGCAGAACTTGAGTAATAAGTCAACAAAGACTTGTCATAGCACAGTCACTGTGTACACATGCACAGTGCACATACAGCTCACTACTTACATTCTGTCGACACGATTTACTTTTTTCACTTTTCCCAGAGCGTGGGAGTTAAGTTCGCTACATCATGTACCTGGCGCACTGACAAGCAGTAGACAGGAGCATTAATCATTCAGGAACCCATTTTAAACCTGTCAATCTCTGTTCCCCTCCCCCTCAATAGGAACTGATTTTAACCATGTTAGAATTAACATGGGTGTACCGTGTTTTAAAAACCAAAGTGAGTTGGCAAACTAACATGGCAGGTGTTAATTAATGTGTACATTTGCTCGCTGTCAACTTATCATTGATGCTACATGACCAATGGTCACCAGAAGACTAAGAAGGGACTAGGAACAAGTCTACCAATTACCCAGCCATCTTCCACAAATCTGCAACTCCCAAACTCCTTCCCTACTCCGTCATAAAAAGAGGAAGGACTGGACTTTTCCAGACAATGTCATTTAAGAAACAACTTTTTGTTGTGCTTTGAATAACAACAATTGCAAACAATAGTGAAGATTTAATTAATTTTAAAAGTTGGACAGCAGGAGTCAATTTAAAGTATGTATCTGCTAAGCATGCAATTTGCTCAGCATATTTTGGTCTTCTGCTAAATAGCTTTGTAAGTTCAAACTCAGGCCTCAATTTCATGGCTGCACAAAGCAGAAAGAAAATGATCAGCAACTTGAAGTAAATGCAGAAATTACCTGAGGAACAGCAGTTTGGACTATTATTTGATTAACTATACTTGGCAAAATTGCATGCTTGACAGCTACAGAAACATTGCCCCTGCATTTTAAAATAAAATGATGGCAAATTACTCAAGATTCTTCTTACCTGGTGCTGAGATGGTCAACAGGTCTAGCTTCCTTTGTTGCTGTATGACAGACATAATACAATCAATTAAAATATGATCAATCAGTTGACAATCTAATCATGTCATGGAGAAAATATATCAAATTAATTGATCAGTTATCAAAATTAAATGTATCAATTTATCAATTAATCAGTTTAAGGTTGGTCAAATCACTGTTTGATCAATCAGACAGTTGAGTTAACAATTTACAATAAAATGTCATTATATGAGTCAAATCATTCAAATAATAACTATTGCGAAAAATCAATAATTCAATATATCAATCAGTTAGTGAATCCATCAACTTGATCATCATTAAAAAAAATAATAATTCTTAAATTTTAAATGTGTGAAGGTTTCCTTGATGAAATTTTGCAAAAGAAATAACTCAATAAAAATATAATTTTTTTAAATCTGTAAATCTCCTTCTTCAGATTTCAAAACTTTGAATTGCTAATTTCATTTAGGAATCCTCAACAGACGATACCATAGATCCAATGAGCAATCATTACATGCATCCTTTTTTTTTCATTTTTAGGAACTTTGAACTACCAAAGATATCGTTGCCAGATAAACTGCGTCTGAATATCACTTTACATTGGACGGTCGTGACAACGTAATTATGGCTGAGATTTGATATGTCCATGAATGATCTAGAAAGTCAAAGCAACATATAGTCTGTTAACTATATTGCATTATCTGAAAGGAGAGATACATCAGGCACACAAGGTACATGTACAATGGACAAGGACTGTCAAAATGACGAAGGAAAGAACTGAATAATAGGAAGGTGACTGAGTGTATGAATCTTGAGAGACGCTCCAGACATTTTTAGTGATATCATTTTTTTTTTCCAAAAACAAACAAACACTGGAAATGCCTTAGACTTTTGCTCATTTAACAGAATTTCTGGGAAGGCTGATAAATATTTAATGAGGGATGAGGCCTGTTGAAAATCTCAAAGACCAAGTGGAATGAACATATCTGAGTTGAAAACAAATGGCTATAGCCTGTAGGAATGTTCATAGATCTTCATGCTTCTTGCTGACAAGATACCAATTTTAAACTACAACTACTTCAATAAAGCATTAAAAAAACAACATTTCAATATGAAAACAATCACTCCTTCCCTCTCCCAACTTTCATAAACCTGCTCAATGTGGCCGCCTTTTGAGATGGGCCTCTCTCTTAGGGCCATGTCCTTTCAGACCTCGGATACATAAATTAGTCAACGACGCTTACCAAAAAAAAAATTCACCCGACTCCCACTCTGTTACAACAAATGCATAGACACGAACCCAAACGCCATCAAAAGGTGTGTTCAAACAAAACACACAAATGATTATGATGAATTTTCTCAGCTTTTTTCCCTCCACAAAAGAGGTGCATGGATACGATGAATCAAACAGGAATCAAACTGATTGCAAATTTTGGTTCATTCCAGGTTCGTACTGTTTACCTAAGACATACTGTTATGTGTGTGCATGTTTGAATAGTGTTATCCATACAAATGGATGGGCGCATTTTGTTTGAGCAAAAGTGGTCTTTTGTGGAAGAAAAAAAAATATATAAAAAATGTTCTTACTTGTATATTTGACAAAGCTTGACAGCTTTGGTCTAAAACTACGCTGAATGTGCCCACTAATAAAATAGAGAGACTACTTTTGTCATTTTATACAATGAAACATGTTTTAATTGATTGAATGATTGACATTCATCACATCACACAGGTCTCTTACACAGACAGCTGGAAATAAAATGTTCATCTTCATGTTTGTGATCTCCAAGATTTGAATCTTGTTAGCCTGGAGACTTGTGTCGAACAGGAAAATGAAAGCAATGAAATACACAACAACAAAGGAACCCCAACAGGTCTGGGATGAATTACACTTACACAACAGACCTGCCGAATAAATGAATCATTATATTTGATCTGTTAATGTAACTTCATGTGACAAATTTACACTTTCCTCGCACAATTATTCCCCCCCCCCAATTCCTGAGCCAATGCACTCTTGCCACTCTGTAACATTACCAGGGCTAGTGACAATGCGTCAGACACTACGGACATCAACGCTAACAGGTCCTTTTGTAAAGATGTACAATACCAACACCAGTGGATGAAAGGATGATAGCCATTGTCTGTTAAGAGGGGGGGTGGGGGCTCCATTCACGGCCATGAACAAGCTGTGCCTATCGGCTGTCACAGACAGACAAACCCTGTCGGTATCCATCAATGTGCATACATATACATCAGCCTTGGTATTGATCGGAGCACCGGTGATGCAGCAGAGGTGTCAGTGTACTTTGAACGACCGCCATCAAATATTCATGCTTTTCTCCTCCAATTTTTTTCTGTTCATCTGCACTCAAATTTAAGACTAGATTACACAGACCAAAAATGAAGGTGTTGATGCACGACCAGAGGAAAGTTTAGCTCTTCTTATGATGGAAGGGCATCCTGCTGAAATTAATTAACGTTGTCACTTTTCAAAGTCTGCCATGACTGAGTATCTTTACCTTTACATGAAAAGAAACTAGTTCAAAACATGAATCATACTTTACACTAGGTCTATATTATTCATGACCAATTATTTCACATCATCGACTCCACACAAAGTGCATAATTTTACATCATCTGTTTTACTCAGGCTTAAAATGATGCAAAAGACAAACGCTTATAACAAAAAAAATGAACTCGGAAAGGGAAAGGTTCATTAACTTTGAGTAATTTGATGAGTGATGACAACAGGCGTAAACACAACTGAACATTACAGGTGTTTTATGAAAGGCTAGCATGAAATTCAACTGACAAGATAATAATTCTACAGCCTGTGACATCTCCTGTTTAAAGTGTCAGTAATACTTTTTCTGAAAGAGTAACTGAAGGGTCTTTTATTCAACAAAATAATAAACAACTACCGGTACATATAGGCCTAATTTGACACAGGTTTTTCTATACTGAACATTTTATCAATCAAAACTGTATTGTGAGCTCCCTTCAAAAGAATAACCTTTGAGCAATCTAGATACAAATGTAAATAGAAATTTCTAAAAACATGATGGATCAGACCAACAAAAGTGTCCAAATCGGTGATAAATCTAAGTGTATTTCATTTTGAGGAAGAGGGGGGACAGCTAAAATATTTTCCAAATGTGCACTGTAATCCAACTTGAGGATGAGCTGTCCATAATGAAATAATGTCTTTATTACTGCGAATACTAAGGTTGCAAGAATGTTGTAGTAGCGTTTACAACCTATTGTTTGTTTTTGTTTATGTAGTTTGTTTTTTCAATAACATGTTTTAATGGTCATTTCCTTTCAGTATTATGTTTTAATACAGCATATGTTTTTCTACTGGAAACGCAGCCTCCCTCTCAAAATCTACTAAAACAGAACAGTTGCTAACACTGAAACCCTGCAACATCCATAACCAGCCACACTTGATTCCAAAAGTTGGCATTAGGCTACAGACGACACAATCAAATTTTCCACATTCTAAGTATAAAAGCCTCTTTCTTAAGCTGTCACGCAACTCTCACGATCAAATTTACAGTCTGTATAATGAGACAAAATAACTGCATTTGGAGTTGATATCAGGGGAAATTTCTCATTCATGTCATCAAAATAATGGTGGTTTCAGAACACGCTAGTCAAGAACCCCTCTAGGCCTACATTAACTAATGAGAGAAAGAGCCACAGCGGACGCATCAGACAGTAAACTGGAGACATGTTGATCCTCTAACAATTCCAAATTTGCAGGCCAATCCATCTTTTAAATTTATACATAATAAAGATGAAAGGAAAATAATGGTCCTTTTGATATCCACGAGCAAACCTCACCAACCCAAGGTCATCAAACTATTTTGTCGCGTGACAAAGTGAAAGGTGTTAGGCAGAGGAGAGAATGAGCGTACATCCCCCAAGGCAAAACCACGCTGGCCTACGTCCGTACCGAACAATGTATACACACTGTGCCTGCATTACCAACGTTGCGCCGTAAAAAACCACTGATTGTTTAACATCCCTCTAATAATTATGCACACCAAAGTGCATCCACAGATTTCATTTAAAAATGTACACCTTTTAGAAATAATAGGCATGCATGTCTTAAGCAACCCTTGGCAAGATATTGCGGAATTGGCTGTTGCTACAGAGGAAAGAAATGTGGCTTTGTAAACAGACACGTGTCAATAGGGAAGTGTATTTTTAAACCCTGTTGCTTAGTCGTGCTGAATGTGACAGTTTCTTTCAATTTTCTCCTTTGTTCTTCGTGACTGGGATATTACATTCAGTCCTTTAAGCACCATAGAGGGTGATATATAAGAGAAATATGTGCCTTTTTATTAAAAAAAAAAAAAAAACCTTTGAAAATTGATCTGCACTGACGAATCTGTCCCCTGCGCTGCTACATGTAGAGCTGCTTGTTTACATGTATTTCTCAGCCCGAACCCTCAGGTTGTTTTTATAAATTTTCACTTTTTATGACTTTTTGCTTCTCTCGTTATTTTGATACACTTATATGTAATTGTTATGGTTATATTTTGATTATTTCTATTTGTCTATTAAATTAACTCAAATCTATTTATTTATTTGTAAAACACGGTTTTTATGTGTTGCATATGTAAAGAAAACAATTCTTCTTGCAAATGACCAATAAATTAAATTTTGAGGGTTTTTTTTAAATACAAACATCTACAAAACCCTAACCCTTTTCAAATACATTTCTTCAATTTTAATTTCTCTTAAACAAAAACTGCACAGGACCTGTCTCACTTGAAATGTTCATGCGCATCAGAAGAAATCTTTCATGCACTTATATAATCGCCCGAAAAAATTCCTACACGATGAACTCAACAGAATTTATACAAGCACACAAACTACTGAGTACAGAAGTATGCTTTTTCTTGAAAAACAAAACACAGAGAAAGCTTTTCATCCAAGAATTCAAGTCACATATTCTAGACAAATTCTTGGCACAGAAAAAAAAAATAAGCAAATTTGTTAAATTAACATATACTACTTAACTCTTTGGTCACTGCTTGGCCCGAAACTGACAAAGCACTCTATGGTTTTATTGATTTTTCAGTCAATAAATACAATGTAATACAATGAAATCCAGATGCAAATGGGTTAAACAGTGCATGTATGACAACAAATATATGCAGAAAGCAAACATTCTTTTGTTTCTGACGAATCTTTTGGTGGGGTTCGAACCCATGACCTATGGCAGCAATTCCTTCCTATTCATTTCAAGTTCATGCACTGTGCGCTGAAAGGAACTCCAACGAATCAAACTGCACTCACAAGTACTTTTCTGACAGCTGAACATACAAAGCGAGAAAGGAAAACGGCAGAAATGTTTTGGGCGTTGTAATAATGGACAGGGTAGATGGGATGTTTGCTATTCATGACCTGTATTGATAAAATGTTTGTTTCTGTTAGTTATATAAATTGAGGGCTCCAATATTTCAATGATAAATTAACATTTTGTAGTTGTGAACATGCATATGTTAGAAGGGACAAAAACGTTGCTTTTCCTGGTAGCAATTTTATAATGATAATAATAATAATAATAAAAAGACTGCCCTATGAAACTTTGTTGTGATCAGAAGTGAAAATTTAAACAACTTACATGCAAAAGTAAACACAAAATCAAAGTTGTTTTTTTTCTTCAAAGAAACTACATGTCCATAGGGTTAGGGAAAAACTGACTAGGTGCATTCTACATGTAATTATTTCAAGGTTGAACAAACATATTTTTATTTTGTTATTCTGAAATCAGATGAATTTTTTTTTATATCTATTTAGAAAATCTACAGTTCAAATAAAGACAGTATCTGACATTCATAAATAACTAAGACAGTTTACCCATTCCCATTGGTCGACAGCCCGTCACGTGGCCGGTCTTAAAGGGATGATAAAGACATGGCTGGCTGGTCTTAAAACTTTTCCAGTGTCACATGAAATTTGGACTCCTATGAAATCAAGTGCCTCATTTTATTGGATGAACGGTCACAATCCTCACACAGGCATGCGTTGGAAATTTTTTATTTTTGACTTGTTTTAACTTTTGGACTGAAAAGGTTTGATTTTTTTTTACCTAAAGGTATTTGTGAATGGGAATAAATATGTGCTTGGTCGGTGTTAAACACTACGTTTAAGACTGGTTGGAGTCTGGATGCTGATAAATTACCCCAGCCAAGGGTAATTATCTGCATGCAGACTCCAACCGGTCTTAAACAGAGTGTTTAATACCGACCAAGCACATATTTATTCCCTTAGTAAAGCATTCCACAATACAACTTCCCCTTACTCCTAAAAAGCACAATAGATGCCAACATAACAAAAACATGTACTCTAGCAATTTATACAAAATACAAAGGATTTTTTATTTATCTAATCACATTATTCCCTCATGTAATATATGACGCTCACTAAAGCAACAACAGCCAACTGAAAATGAAGCACCACTCTGCTATTTATATGCTTGTAGTGCATTAAGAGTCGTGTTTTCTAGACTTATCCGATGTCCTTGGCTGCGAAACCTTGTACCAAATCTTGATGGGGCCCCGTTGCAGGCAGCAGAGAAAGCATAATGCGCATCAGGTTTTGCACTTGGTTGAACGCCCAGTCTGCAAACTCCCCTCCCCCCCCCCCCCCCCCCCCCTGTGAAAGGCAAACGGAAAACAAAATCTCCACTCGTAACCTTGGCCGTGGCGCGTGTGGCGCGCACACGCTTGCACGCACGCATGCATGCACTGGCTTGTCATTCCACCGTGCGGTGTCGGCGGGCTTTAGAGTGACATGGTTGACAGGCTTGTAGTGGTTTCACCAAGGTATAGGTGGAGGAAACAATGCAGCATCGCATCACGACATGGTAGTCTGACGCGTGTGTTATGTTATGACAATGCAGGGCTGTGGAACTAATTCAAATGTGGAATTGAACACGATGAATATTGCTTTACTCTGACGAGGAATTGTATTTTGCTAAATTAAGACGAATAAGAGTTTGTAGATTGTTAACAGTAAACTGTCTGCCTTTAGTTCATCCTCCTCTATGCTAAAAACTTCCACTTTAGAAGGGGATTTAGTAACTTTCTTCATTGAAATTACATTTCCCAGCCAAACAAATACTGTTGGTATTTTTATAAAATACTTACTTAAAAAATGTTGGGGTTTTTTTACATCAACAATCTTTAATAACAAGAGTCCAAAATATGACTTAAATTTTCCAGGAGAATTTGAGAGATTTTTAGAGACTGTTAGAACTCATTGCAGATCACGTCACTTTTCTTTTCATCACTTGCAACCTGAACAACTATACAATGCATTGGCCCCCAGACAACAAGGCCCCAAAAGTCTCCTTCCTAACTATTTTTCCCATTAACAGAATTTACTCAAATTGAATCATTCCTTCAATACAAGCCTGATAGCCAAGGCTCCAAGTTCCAATGTTTCCAGTCCCTGCTGGCTCACCAAAACTGTTTAGAAAAAAATTGTCTGCCTCTGTTTACAGAACTCCACTTGGCTAAGATCAATTCCCTCTCATTACTGTGCCTCTACTTCATTTCCCACTTTCCTTCCTCCGCCCAAATTTCCCTGTCTCCACTTTCCCAATTTAGCCTAGCAAAAAAAAAAAAAGTGAGACAAATTTAAGCAGGCATCCTTCTCTCCTTGGCAGGCTCCAGGAATCTTGGCTCATCATCGTCTGTTTCCTTACGCCAACATCCCCCTCTCATCCCCCTTTTGTCTCTTGTTTACCATCAACAGGTGAAATCCTTTTTTACCGGTAACACCGCTCACCCATTCAACCAAACCATTGAGGGGAAGCTTTGCTTTTTTTTCACTTCCCGCTTTACTTTTTTCCCCGTTACTACATTGTCGGCATTTTTTTGTGAGTCTGTGTGTGTGTTTACGGTGGACGCTGAATCATCGTTTGCCGCTCTTCCTGCCTAATCGGCATTGACAATCAAAGCCAAGGTCGAGGGAAAATTCACCGGTCGGTAAGTCGGCAAGAAATAAAGAAAGTGGGGAGGGTGGGACGCCCCGCCTGAGACAGACACCTTTCGAACCTGAAATTGTATTTATCAATCTTACACTTCAAAAATACATGCAATTCTCACATTATTACTATTTTAAATGAAGTCAAGATTATAAACCTTCAAAAAAAGGAAGCATTTTCAGACACATTGATCATGTCAAAACCAAACAAAGAATTCGCATTGAAAGCAGCAAATACCTAAGGATCCATATCACTTCAAACGTTGATTATTTAAGCAAAACTTCACCAAGGCAAGACAAGCTACTGTAAACTACACATCTCTCCACAAATATCCTGGTACACACACAGAAACAAGAGACCCACACTGACAATTTGTATTCACAATCATGAGAACCACTTCAAATGAGACAGCGAAAAAAAAAAAAAAGACTGAGAATGGCTGATAGTCTGGCTTATGGCGGGGAGGGAATGACAGTAATCCTATAACGCAGCCTTGAGGATCGACCAAACATCGGACAGGACTGAATACAACCCTCAACTACTTGTCAATACTGACTTTGAGGTGTCAGTCAAGTTAAGGATAACATTTATATTGCTTTTTTTAGTCGGCCTGTCCTGTTCCAAGAGTCGTTCTCCGCCCGGCTGAGACTTGAGGGAGAAGGGAGAATTGAGTATCAGGGAATGTTGAGGGGGGGGGGGGGTCAGACAGTGGGGGGGGGGGAGGTGGGAGTGGGGGAAACGGAGGAATGGTCAGGGAGGAGTCTAGATGAGATTTACGTTGACACTTGATTGTAATATAGCAACAACGACATGCTGGAAAAAAATTAAAGCAGCCATTGGCATGTCCACATTAAGATTTTTTAATAAGCTTCATGTAGACTCATTTTTCGATGCGATATGGAAAAAAAGCCTTTGAATATTGCTAAAGCGATCTTTACAACAAAGGCTTAATAGCCCCTTGTCCCCCTAGTATTTCAGAATTTGGGTTTTGCTTCACAATTATTCACTCATACTTTTACATTTCCATCAAAATTTCTCCCACAGCTTTTTAGCAATTTTCAATAAATTGAATAGAATTGGTGTGTTCTCTGGGACCATATTTACTAGGCTTGTCTTGTCTTGTCACCAAAAAAAGGCTGTCCTTATACACTCTGGTTCTACCTTTCAAAACCAATTATACCTACCACGCTAAGACACAGCAGCTCTCGGTCAAAGTAGTTCAGTTTCCGTTTCTCGATAGCAGCCAGATAGGTTTGCATTCGAGTGTAGGAGTAGGGGTAGCAGTACGCAAACTGGTATGTGTCGCCCTCTTTGTCAAACGCAAATGGGAAGGACATGACGTAGTTCTTACGGTGATCTGGGCATCGGTAGTAGTAAACATTCTTGGAGGGAATTCTTTGCCTTGAATGAGAGAACACAACAAAATCAATTTTACAAATATGAAATGAAAGAAATTGATTTCAACTTCAAACATACTTCTGATGACCTATACATGTATATACATGTATAACTAGAAGTGTGCATGTTGCAGTAACGTGCATTTAAGCAACGTCAATAATATAATTTTTAGAGCTTTTATTTGGAATCAGAAAAATCTCCACTGAACGCAAATATTCTTGATCTGCTCTGAATACAGAAAATGGGTCCTGGCCTAACCTAGATGCCAAGGAAACAAATTCCCTTAGGAAATTTTTTTTACCAGTTTGCAACCTTTTGTTTGTTGTCTGTGATTTTGAAGAGGTCAAACCTGTTGACCATTCAGTTTATTGGAAAATTCACCCTGCTGCTATCTGACCCCATATTCAATGAATATCATTTCTAATGTGTGATTTGTGACGTAACAATTTACATACATGTACACATGTAACCATGTGAAATAATCAAGAAGTACAAATCACACTGAACACTAGAAATGTATCAAAATTTAACAAAACATTTACTAGAGCATTTACAAACAAATTCCGAATCCACATTCAGCCACAAAGATCACATTTAGCTACCTGCAGTGTGAAAATTCAATTACACAAGATGGTGAGAAGCGATAGTTATATACGCATCGCTAATTCATTTATCCTGATTGTGTGTATGGGGGAAAGAATATCACTTAACAAAGGAGACAAAATGGGAGTCACAAACAGTCTGCGTAGGGTTCTTCTTGGCCCCCCGGCACATTATCACATGGGTTGGGACCACAGAATTATCTTGTAGAGTGACACCACACACATCGAGGGGGCAACTCCGCCCTACGGCATCAAAACATGAGCCACATTTTGAAATTATATGCAATCTGGTCCAGCTAACGCAATTACTATCTCAAATGTTTTGTGATAGATGTGGTAGATTGGGACTGATGAAATAAGCGAGGCCAGAAATCCTTCAGGTTACATATAGGTTTTTTTTCTATTTTGTTCATTTATAAGTTACAAAAACAGAGTGCTATGAGATTTTATTGTTTCTCTTTGCTACAGAACAGAAAATTGTGAGGCTTTCTCTTTTATGCAATACCAGGAGGTTACGAAGTGTTGAGTCAGTTGGCTTGAACAAGTTGCTCAATTTTACTGCCGGTTCTATTTGAATATTAAATGAGACCACTATAAGACAATGAGAAAAACTCTAGTTTGCCAACTCGTATTATATCTGGAAAATAGCTTGAACTTGCCTTGGCTGATACGCAGCACAACACACACTGTCCAAATGAACCCTGAGGACACAAACAGACCCAGGTCATCACGTGTCCCACGTATGCATGAGGACGTGTGTGCAGGCACACCGTTCAAAGAAGGAAACGGCCAATATGACCTACAAGTACATGAACTCCTAATGCTGAGCCAAAGTGCGCTGTGGTTAAACCGGCCCAAAGTCTGGACTTTCTTGATGGCCTTCAGCCAACATAAACCACATTCTCCACCTGCATTCTCAAACGCAACCACCAGACTTAAGGACAGTGAATACATGAATTTAAGCCACTAGATTTGGGTCAAAATTTCCATCTCTTTGACACATACAGTTACGCACCTGACCGCCCCCCCCCCCCCCCCCCCATCATTCATGCTCATTGTGTATGTATGTAGGTCGGAGCTCAAACATCTGAAACTCTTTAATATATGCACCTTGCCGTTTGGCTTCTAGCTCTAGGTAACAACAAACTTGCTAAGCCAGACACATAACACCTCCTGCCACATTGTTTCTTCACACCATGACGCTTGTGGCTCGACACTTGCAACGTCCAAACACAACAAAAGTTCTCTGCTACTGCGGTTTAATGCACCTTGTAAGATCTTGAAAACACTTCACACGTGAAAGAACAACTTTACACTATTTTGTCCGGGCAACGCCAATAGGCTGAAACCTCATGGTCAAATAGCAAATGACTTCAGGTCATACAAAAATTGTCTCAAAATTTCCCGGGTTCCTAAACCAAAATACTCCCAAAAAATTGTGTGTATTCCGTCTTTGTGCTAGATACATGTCTCTCTTTCTTTCTTCAACTGTGTCAGCACAGGATCCATCAGATCAAGAAAGAAATACTGAATGCATTTATGAAGTGATGTTTCTTTCATATCTAGCGACACTTGATCATATTACTGACATGTTAGACTGACTGGTGTGACTACAAGGACTCAATCACATCCACTATGCATTGGCAATTAAGCACACAGCCGAGGCGTGAGCGCTGTCACTCCTCAGCTGTTGTCTGTTGCCAGATTTACAGCTTCAGATATTACTTTGAAGATCCAGCGGGGCGGCAATACTTCATAAAAACATTCTTGAAAAGACGGGCCAAACTGCCTGATGAATTCTCTTCACAGCTTGTCAGCAAAGCTCCTCTTACAATGGACATTTTTATTATTTTTGTCGAACTTTTCTATAAATCTTTCTAGAAGATTTTCCAGGCCCTAAAATTGTTCTCATTTATACCACTTTTTAAATCTTGTCTTGTCTCTAGCTTCGTGTACAGGCTCCAGAATACATGTCCACTTTCTACTATTAAGGAAAACTAAATCTTATCCACACAAAGCTAAAATTTGGAGTTGTTTGAGCATAAAATATTATCAAGATTCTAAGGAAAGATACAAAATCTAAAGCGGAGATAAAGATGAGGTTTCAAAACTGCCCAACACTATTGGAATGACACAATATGATATCCCCTTATTCCCACTAATGTCTATTATTTGTCTTTTATGCAAAGCAAGTCCCAGGAAAGTTGAGCAACGGAATTGAGAGAGGGAGGGAGGTTGGGTTGCCCCAACATTATACACCGCGTGTGTCCTCAAGCCTCCGGCTAAATCCAGCCACCAGAGAATCCAATGCTAGGGGAAAACCTAGCTGGCTAGCTGCCTAGGGCAATGTGTAACACTGCCTTGACTCTGCTTCGCAATGGCTGCCACGACTGGCTTCAAATTCTACAGGAATTATAGATCGTCATTTTATCCAATCTGATTTCTTTTTCTTTCTGCTGTGGATATATTTAAGGAGGTTTGTTTCACAGATTGGAGTACACTGGAACATGAACCTGTGGGGAAAAGTGGTGGGTGGGAAGAAAGTGAGTCGATTCCCAACAACTAATTTTTATTTGCAAGAACAAGAGCTTGATTTGCTCTTCAGAAATGAGACAATTAGCGATTTCAAATAACGCCTGAAATGAGCTTGTTGACTCTGCGTCCCATAATGCTAATTTCATCCCTCTAGGCAACAATTTCAACGTCAAGTACTTAACAACTAAATTAGTTCCGTTGCGTAGAACGTTTATCAAAGCCATTATTGGGGACTTGATTGTAATTAGGATGTAGGGGACCTGAGGCAAGTACAGGGCATTTTAACAAACAACCACTTGCTGCTAATAATGGAGTGTTTTGGCTCTCAGTTAAATTTCAAGTGGCGTACGGTCCTATACAAGACTTCATTTCCACCTGCATGTATTATTTTACAGTGGACTCAATGATCACAGTTACATAGATAACAAAACATGAAGCCTTCCCCACAAAAGACCACAAGCAAATTACAAGGTTTTGGTGAACATCCAATTTTCAACACAAAGTGTTCAGAATGATAAGTGTGCAAGGTTTACACCTAATGAAAAATGCTTTAAACACAAAATATTCAAGACTTTTAAAGTTGAACTTCCCATTTTCTTCAACAAATTTGACCTCATGCCTTCTCAATGTGTTTATTTTATTTGAAAGAGAAGTACTTGCTTCTATTTTGGACATCTGTAACCCTCTGAAAATGAATGATCATCAGGCCACAAGTAATTCCAAATTTGTTAGGCAATTATTCCATAACAAAGTGTCGACAGATTTTTTTTTCTCTCATTCAAAACTGCAAGATGTTTGAGAAAAAAATGGTAAATTCAAGTAAAAGTATTCTCTCAAATCCTTTCAAACAGCCTCAATATAAAAAAAAAGAAAAAATAGGAAGAGGTGAATATTTTCCAGAGCACTTGCATAATGGGCCACACGCTCATCACCCCACAGTTCACCTGCCTAGTGCATTAAAAGCCAACTTCCCCCTCCACATCCACTCACAGCAACGCTGCAGCTGACAGCGACCACGGCAAACCCAACATGGCCCGGGGGGCTCCTCGCTTCAAACTGCCTCTAAATTTGATATCAAAACAGAGCTAACAATCTAAGCTACAATAACAACCTCCAGGGGAAGACACTGAATATTCATCCTATCTCAAAGGAAGGGGGCAAGAGGGTATTGAGGAAATGGGGGGAGGGGGGTTCGTTTGGGGTGGGACGGGTACATTCTTTACGGGGTCAATTTTGTGGGTTGTATTAAACTAGGTCTTAAAAAAGACCATTTTTATTCAAGCTGGTACATTGGTTTAGTGCATTTAAGGCAAGTTGAATTTTGTTGAAATTTTCACAGATGAATAAATGTGCAGACGAATTCAGAAGAAAAACTGCATTGTGAAAACAGCATTAAAAAATGTTGTGCAAACACTTGAAATTAAGCTGAAGGTTAAATTGAAAATTTGCACTGATATGCGACAAAGAACTGCCTCGTGTCTCATTCCTTCTTTGACTTCACATATTTTTTTTCATTTATCTAGGCAAAGCAGTTTATAAAATGGATCTCTTTATATCCAACCAAAAGGCTGTCATTCCAAGTCCTTCTAATCCCAATCCTCATCTTAAACCACGTCTCCAAAAACAACAAAAATGAAACTCCTTCAGAAAGACAACTTCACCCCCAGGACCGGTCTTTAAAAGTAATAAAAGTCCGTGACACTTTTCATTGCCTAATGTAGAAGAAAAAAAAAAAAAAAATAAACTACAGGCTCCTCCCGAAGTCAAAGATTCTTATCGTCCAGGTTTGTCTCAAAATGTAACCCTCAAACCTTAAAAAAAAAAACAGGAACAAAACAATAAAATAAAATAAAAAGTGTGACTAAC